GCTGCGGGGTCCCATGGGCAGCGCGGCGGGCGGGTCTGCGCAGCTCCGGGGGCAGGCAGGGATGCGGGCTCCTGGCAGAAGTGCCTTGCTCCGGGAGCGGAGCGTGTAGGTGTGAGCCAGACCAGTTGCGTGCCGGCTATAAAAGGCTGCTTTCTGCCCCGAATCAGGTCTCCCGGAGCCAGAGCTGAAGACCATGCTGCGCTGTCCATCTGGCCAGAAGGGAGGAGCTGCCACTGGAAGACTTGGGGAGAGCTGGGACCTGTCACTCGGGCAGCGAAGCGCCGTGCAGACACAGGGAGAACCCTGTAGTCAGGTTGTCTGCTGGCCTCTGATGAGGGGGGCCTCCACTCTGCTCCTCCAGGACTTTCCTGCTCTGGTAGCTATAATTTCTCTTTGAATTACAGCACTTCCTAGATAATTCAATCTAGATCTGAAGCATTAAGATGGCAGTAAACTGTGTTGTAAATTATTCTAGTGGTTAATTATAACCAGTGCTGAATACATGCACTGTACCTGTAGTCTGAATTTGCCAAACTTCATCCCCGCATTGTTACTTTTCTTGGGGGACTAAAGAACAACCAACTCCTAAACTGGTTATGGATATTTGTAGCTTGATCAAATTAACTTTTTAACCTTCCCTCAACCAAAATAGAGTCTTATACTGAGTATTTTTTTGTACATTGTGTCATCTTTGAATATTTTTCCATTCCCTTTTCAACTCTTGTATTATTTTGTAAAACCTGCAACTAGATGCCATATTGGAATCACAGTTTCATTGCCCCTCTCAACAGACAGACAGTACCGCTTGCTTTTATGTGATTTTTTTTCCTTGCTCATACATTCCAAATATTTCATCAGACCTTTTATTACTGCACTGAAACCAGTGCATTTCCTGTCGGTTGTTCAAGTAACCAGGACCCCTGAAATTTTGGGTATTTATTTTTTTGTGTGTTTTGTTTTGTTGTTCTTTTTTTTTTTTGGCATTATTATATTCCAGGATATGCCCCCATTGGATCCCATTGAGGCCTACGCTGCTAGGATACAGAAGGAGAGAGAAAGGTTTTTTACAGAACTTACCAATAACTTGTTCTTGGTCATGTCATCTTACTACTGCAGAGCAGCTGGTAGGTTTTTTGTAGTGAATGGTATTTTCATCAAAGAAATAAAATGTTTTTTCATGTGCATACTGAAGGATAATTCTACTTTTGCATTAAAATGCTCTGATTTTTGTGTTACATCATCCTTCTTTAATCAGAAGTAGAAAATCGTATGTGGTCTGATTCCAAAAGACAAAAAGCATGCACAGACAGATCAGATTTGTTTTTGTTATGCTCTCATTAATCCACGCTCTATGAAATGTTTGTGTTGGCACTGAAGTTAGGGTAGCGTGGGATAAATGTGGAAGCACATCAGTTTAAGGTAGGATATTGATATGCCTTTGTACACCTGACAGCCTTTGTGCAACTACATGCAGAACACCAGAAATGGTATGTTAGCCCAGTCAAAACTGCACGGTGCTTGAACAAGCAGAAGGGATCACAGTATGAACTTGACAAACCAGAAGAAAGCAGGGTTTCCAGCTCGAGAGCTTGTATTCTGCAAAGGGATGGAAGTTGTTGGAGGCTTGCTGTGTGACCATGCCTTCCTGCTGATCGATACCAAGTAGCTTCTGATACGATGTGCTGTGATACGCTGCCAGCTAGTCTTTCTATCCCTGTCTTTCGGGTCTTACAAACATAGTTGACCACAGCTACCACTGTGTTTCCCAACAGAGATGGACTAGAATACTAGCGAAATAGGATCTGTGGCCACCATAAATGTTGTCAATGACCCTGAGAAGTCTTGGTAATGTACGAGTCATAATAGAAACCCCATCTATTTGGGATAGATTTTTTTTTTTTTAAGATTTTGTTGCTACTGCCATCAACTGGGTCAAAGCAATTTTCCTATTACTCATGGAGTCACATTGCTAATTACTGTTACTCTAGTTTCATACTGTCACTTATACTGCATTTGTTTACTGACTCTTCCGGACAATAAGTCACACCTATTAGAACGTTTTAATAGTGTTCAACAGCAGTTTAGTGAAACTTCCAGTTGAACAGTATCCCATCCAGCATACCATTGGATATGACAATGAAAACAGTATCCAGGGGAGCAATGTGAATTACATTTCATGTTTGTTCTTCAGGAGACTGACTGATGAAATGCGTTAGTGCACTTGGTGTTGGATTAGTGCAGTTGATACGTTTTTCTCTGAAGGAAGGAAAGTAATCTTAAAATCATTGAAAAACCAAGTGAGGCTGAAATGTTCAGACTACAGCTGCTTCTATCAGAAAGCAGACAAAGATGTGAAGTGACAAAAACTATATGAAGTGATGATGTAAGGAATGCAAGTCAGGAGTTCTATTTCCTACGAGTTGTAGTAAAAGTTCAAAAGATAACGTCTAGTGAAATTGGGGCGGGGGGGAGAAATCTTATAGAAGGAAATACTTTTATTGAGGGGAAGTTAGGCTGTCCAGTTAATTGCCATGGCGTATGGCTAAGAAAATATACTAGTAACAGATTGGAAGTTGATATGGATTACGATGAGTAGTGATTTTTTTTTTTTTTTAAACAAGATTTAAAATTCCCTTTAAATTTTTAAATAAAAACTTCTGTGGCAGTGCAGACCTATCATATTTGCTTTTTCTAGTGTTCTTTTTCTTTTATCTGAAGCATTTGGTAACTGGTATAAGTCATATGTGACAAATGGCATTTTCTTTCTTACTGATGAATTCTTTCTTTTTGTCAACTGGAGCTGTGCAGGGGCAGGGAGAAGCATTTGCTTTTCAAATATACTTTCTCAAACAAGGTTGCATGTGTTCAATGGTTGCTTTAATTAAGTTTTTAAATCTGAGGAATAGATTAATATAATTGAGACACATAGTTGTACTGAGGAACATTCTCACAGCATATTATTATTATGGGCAAACTTGTTCAGTTAGTTGTAAAATCCCGGTTTTTCAGCGTCGGTGATTCTGTACATGCAGGAAGATGATAAAGTGTATTAATCCAAAATGTTAAAATGTTGATGGGAAGTGCTAGAATGGTCTAAAATATGGTTAACGTCAGTGCAAGTTATCCACTTCCCTGTGAGCAGGTGAAGGTAGTGATTTTGAGAGCAGTGTAACAGTATGTTTACTGCTGACTAAACAGATGCAAAGCTATATTTTTCTAGTAATAGAAGAAGTTGGTTCCATTAACACTTTTTATTTAGTAAGAGCCATTATTTTTACTGAGAAATGAAAAAACACTGACCACCTACCTCGGTCAAATTTATATATACTCCGCATATAGCTGTTACGAAGATCTGTAGTAATGATGATGAGTATAGAAGTACTAGGGTCTGTAGGTATCTAAGCGAAGTCCTACAAAATTAGGATCCTTCTGCGTTAAGCATGTGACAATTAGGCTATATGACATATTTGCTGCCCCACTGAATTAATGAACTGATAAAGAATGGTGAAAGAAATTATTTTCCCATTGTTAAAGAAGGGAATGGAGGCAGAGTGATTTGCTCAAGGTGTTATATGATGGCTGTAGCAGAGCTGGGAAACTGCACCTCGGTGTTCTGCATCCCAGCTTAAGTCCCAGATTGGGTTCTTCCGTGGCACTGACTCCTGGAGGAAAATAAGGAAAGAAAACACATGCCTCACTGTGAAGGTATCAAAATAATTAGAACTGAAGAGCTGCTTCCCAGCAGTAAGTCAACTGACTGTATTTACTTGATTGCTATACTTGGCAAATGTCCCCAAGTTACTCCACATTTTCTTAAACGTTGGATTGGGACACAGGTTTGGCCTGGAATACATCCCTTACAAGCGTATGTTCCTTCAGATACTGAATGTCCAAGTAGTACACAATCAACTTCTTTATCACCGTTGTCTTAATTAAAAGAAAAACCAGCCTCACTTATTCAAGTATTTGTTTGGAAACATTCAGTGCCTTTGTTCCCATTTTTAGAGGTTTAGCTGGCTTTCTTCTCTTTCATGTCTTTCCAGCTTCTCATAGTTCCTTTTCACAGCCAATGCTTCCTGTTTACCAATGTTTTCTTCAGCTCGCGTTGTTGGGCATGTTGTTCCAAAAAACTACAAGTTATAAAGCATAGTTTGGAGAGACAAGCTCCATGTGGAAGATCAGAAAACATTCTGCTAAGCCATTTTACAGTATTTTCCAATGCACTTGGTATTATCTCAAATCTATTTCTAGCATACAGAACAAAATCCAACTTTAAGACTAGACCAGCCTATAGCATAACTTGTAATGTCTTTGGTAATAGTAAGCCTATGAGTAGCATATGTTCTGAGAGAATTTTGGGAACCATTTGTAGCGTTGTCCTTTATACGCCCTTTGGCAGCAATGTTATTCTGTCCATTCTGCAAAAACACTGGCTAGCGCATAGCTGCCCATAACAGAGTTGTGTGCTGGAAAGGCTGTTATTACCTAAATGTTCTTGAAACTAGTTTACAGTTATAATGTATGCCAAGGAGCTAAATTACTCCTACAGTTTTCTTTTTTCATGTCTTTTTTTGGTTTTGTTTTGTTCTGTTCCAGATTCTACCCTCTGCTCCTTAAGTATAATGGCTACTTGCACGAAGTCCATCCTGTGCATACGATCACCCAGGCAAATAACAAGATTGCAAGTATGTTCTTGGAGTACCATGTATATACTGATGCAACTCTGTCCACGTTTATGACGTGGAAATGTATCATCAGTCTTTGAGCAAAGCCACAGACGGGAAGATTCTGGGGAAGGACTCTATAAATAATTTCTGGCTTGCCTAGCTCTTAAGTTTCGACAGTCATCTCTGCCTTCCAGAAGATGTCTTACACACTGTAAGTCAAGTTCTGTATTTCAGCATTTGCACCCAAAAAAAGACCCAGGGCCTGCTTCTTGTGGAACGTATGGCTACTTTTTATTTTTATATCTAGAGAAGAAGAGACCGAGCAATGCAACTCTTGCATTTTTGTAAAACAAAATTTGAAATCTCTAGCATATCTCTGGAAGGATGCTTGACTTGCTTTCTTTTATATAGGTTATATCACCTTGGATTCTTGAAATGGCTGATGTAATGAGATGGGATAGAGTGACCTCTCAGCAAGTTTGTGGGTGATACCAAATTGGGGGGAGTGGTTGATACACTGGAGGGCAGGGCTGCTACCCGGATGGACCTAGTCAGACTGGAAAAATGAGCTGTTAGGGACCTCATGAAGTTCAGCAAAGGCAAATGCAAAGCCCTGCATCTGGGTTGGCATAACCCCGTGCAGTAGGACAGGTTGGGAACTGACTGAATAGAGAGCAGCTTTGTAGAAAAGGAGCTGGGGGCCATGGTGGACAAGTTGAATGTGAGTCAACAGTATGCTCTTGCAGCAAATGTGTCCAGCTGCATACTGGGCTGAGTATCATTGGTAGGTTTGGAGGGAAGTGATTCTTCCCCTCTATTTGACACTTGTGAGACTACATCTGGAGTTCTGTGTCTCGTTTTAAGAAAGGCATTGACATACTAAAGCCAGGCTAGTGAAGGCCACCAAACTGTTCAGGGGGCTGCTGCTCATGATGTACAAGAAGAAGCTGAGAGAGCTGGATTCACTCAGGTTTAAAGAAGATGATGGTGAGGGGAGGTCATACTGCAGTCTACTGCTTCCTAATGGAAGGGTGTAGAAAAGGTGGAGCCAGATTTTTCCCAGAGGTGCACTAGAGGCAATGAGCGCAAGTTACAACATGGAAAATTCAATATAGGAAACTTTTTTTTTTTTTAATACAAAGGACGGTCAAATACTGAAACAGCTTGCCCAGAGAGGCTATGGAAACTCCATCCCTAGAGATACTCATAACTCAACTGGACATGGCCCAAAGCAACATGCTTTAATGGGACCTGCCTTGAGCCGAAAGTTGGACTGCAGACTTGCAGAAGTCCCTTACCACCTACGTGATTCTATGATTTTGTGATGTGATAGCAGATAGCTTCAAGCTAGCAGTTCCACCCTGCCAGGGAAAGAGACTCCAATACCACTTTTCCTTTTGCCTAAAGGTTTTCATGAAACTATGCCCTGCAGGCAGGGAAGGCAGTAGGCCTGTTCTACTGCAATAACAAATTCATTGATAATTTTTTTTTTCCATGTATCACCAAGCTATGCAAATGCACAGGGGAAATCATCTGTACTGAATTCAAAGAGAGTTGAGACTTTGCCTACTTTTATTATCTAGACAGCTTTGTCATGAACAGAAGCAGCACCCTTTTCATAAAGAACTACTTTCCTACCATTTTAACTCACTGTTCTGAAATTCCATTTTTATGCCTTTGTCTTCGTTGACCATTTCTGAATCTTCTTCCAGTTCTATTTTTACTGAGATGGGGTGGAAGCTGCAGAATTGTTCAAGGTGAAGATAGACCATGGATTTATAGAGACTGTGCAGACTACATTCCGCTAAGAGGGAAGACACAGAGATGCACATATTATGATTTTGTGTAACTTTTCCTTTTAGTATGTCTACTGGCTCTTCGTTGTCTCTGAATGTTTTCAATTGCTTAAAAATAACATGCAGATTTTTCTTATCTGTTTACTTGTTCATCTCTTACTGTTTTGTTCTTTGTCCTGTCAATGGTGCGACACCCTATTGGTCTGGTCTGCTTGTGTTGCAGCTTTCTTTCATGACCTTTCTGTTCATGATGTCTGCTTCCTCAGCTGTGAAAAGTTTTATGGCAATTGGACACTTGGCAGAGGATAAAACCCTAAGTTATGTGTCCATCAAAGGAGAGGTGAATAGAATGTAGCCCTTGTCTGTTCCAGGCTAATCAGCACAAGAGCTATCTATCTTTAAACAGCTTAAATGCCATCCAGACTACTTTGGGAACTGGGAAGTTACTGAATGTATTGTTGAGAGACAAAAAACCCTGGAAGTACTGAGGGATTAGGAATGTTGGGATTAGCTAGAGAATTTATGAGTAGGAAAGAAGTGAATACCAGAAATCTGGTATCTTAAGACATGTGGATCAAAAAGGGACTCGATAGTGCTGAAGAACTGAGTATGTGTCACTTGTCAAGAGGGCTCTGGATATCTTTCTTTGCTGTTGGATTGTCTCCCATTTTTACTCTTTGCTTTTGCAGTGTGGTTGGGATGAAGAGTAATTGAACCAGAGAACTGTCAGCACTAACAGCATTATTTGCTATACCTGAAGTAACCAGATACTTCCAAATCAGCCAAAAGATGTAATAGCCATTTGCTGAGGAGTATGCGTAAAGTGCGCAACATGCAGGTCAATGTTCAGTAAAATGTTTGCTTAGCTGCTGCTGTTTTGCCACTAGCTGCTGATTTGATTTCCAGTGAGAAACGAGGACTCTCATCTCAATAGAAGGTAAGAGTTTAAATGCATTCTCAAATCTGGCCCATCATGACAAACATATTATTAAGTTTTCTATGTAGGCCTATTTTCCACTGCATTTGGAAGGCAACAGATGCCATGGGTACTATATAATATAAAGAATTTAGAACAATTTATATATCCTGTAATTATAAAGACTTAAGCTTATGCCTTTTTGCAGTATCAATTACTGGCTTAAGAATACTTCTTCCTAAAACTAAGAAAGAGTTTATGATTCTATAGGCTTTATATTCCCTTAAAAGTGATCAGTTATGGATGAGAGAAGACATGTTCAGGACACTTACGAGCAGAAGACTTGTAGACTCATTGTCAGAAAATGCTAAGAAAACAGTTGAGTCTGAAGGTAGTGGCTGAAGTGAAGTCCCAGTACCTTGTAAATGTGACAGTGCTCAGGGAAGATGATGATACTTAACTCTTACAGAGTTCACTGAGTCTTCAAAAACATAGAGAAATGTTGTGTAATTTCCATTGTACAAATTGAAACTAGGACACCAATGGGTTTGGCAGTCTTAAGCCTTGGTCGTTCTTTCTAGTGTTATTTTAATACAAGGAAGATGACCTGATCCAAATACATAAATTGCTTCCTTGGTTTAAAATAAAACAAATTCCTAATGGTGATACTGTATTTACTAAATTTCGTAGAGAGCCATCTAGAAAAACTCTTGTCTACAGGTTCTGTGACTAATAAAGTTCGTACCATCTCAAACACATAGAGGGGCCATATGCTTTAAAATAACATGTATGAAGAATCTTCTTCCTATGTATAAAGGAGAAAAAGTTGTAACTGCATATGAGATGCCATCAAAAAATTAATACATCAAATGCCATGAACTACCCCATTTGTACATTTGTACTAGCAGTGATGGAACTGTCATTCTCTTTCCAGTTATTATACAGAATAAGTGAATTTGCTATACTGTGTGTAATAGGCCTTGCTAACTGGCATCAGGATGTGCAAGATAGCAAGAAAAAACAGGGGAGCAAGTAATCAGTCATAGTAAAGCTTTAAAAAGAATAGTTTTCTCTTCAACTGTTAGAGGTGTGAATCTTGCTAAATGGATTTAAATTCTTTAAAGCATTTATCCTAAAGTATATATAGCATCAAGTCATAGGTGATCTCAAGAACCAGCAGCAAAAGGTGACTAAGTAACGAAGTAGTTCATTCCTCTGAGGCCTTCTTTGGTAACTTCCTAGTTTCAAATTTATGTTGTAGCCTTCACTGATGAGCCTT